TTAGGCAGACTCTTCAATTTCTCTTTCTTTTCTCTTTGTGTTGTTTCTTTATTTGTTAGTTGACTTTAGTCATAGTCAATTCATCATTCTCAAAGTCAACCCTTTGCAAATTTTTTAGCTTACATTTACGAGCAATACGATGTGTACAAAATTGGATTATAAAATGATTGACAAAATATGTGTTGACAAGATCTGGGTCAATGATTTAAAAAATAATTTTTGAAATCATTGGTCCGATCTAGCCAACACATTTCGTCAACCATTTTTGTAACTCAATTTTGTTCAAGTACGTTAACTCTACATTTACCGTCTCTGACAATAGTACTTGTAGATATGACCTTTTGTATCAATTTTTTGTCGCCTCTTGTATCTTTTTTTATTTTTTTATTTTTTTATTTTTTGGTATTTTTCTTGTTTTTCAATTTTGGTATGAAAGTATAAAATTTGTCATATTTTTCAATTATTCCATCTTTATCCCAATTTTGTTGTAATGATACTTTAACTATTAATTTTTTAGGCTAATGTATTGTTTGTAAAAAAAAAATTCATATTTTCTTAATTTGTAAATTGTACTTGAATAATAACTCGATGTTTTATCTTTTTGGTGCAATTAATCAATTATAATAAGGGTTATGTTAAATGTACTTAATTTTTTACCTAATCTTTTACATCCCATTCACATTTGGGAGTGGGAACCACGAGCCGCATTTGATTAAACATAACGTTCATATATTTCAATAGTATTGTGCAAAACGTCATTGCCTTCTTCTTTTTCTTCTTCTTCTTCTTCTTTTTTTGGACCTTTTCATTTTTAATTAAACATTTGATTGCACAAAACATTATTTCCATCCATTCCTCAATTTTCCCTTTCTTAGAACATTCTTCCCCTTATCCTCTCCTCTCGTCTTCATGCCATCGGTGGAAGCACGCAATGAAGGGTATAGTGAAGGAAGGTAAATTGTTATTTTTAGTTTAGATATTTTTTGTTTTCCATTTCCTATTTAATTATTTTCAGTGATTGATAGTTTGTGAGGATTTCTAATTGTCGTAAATTGATGTTGCACATGTATGTATCATCAGGGGCGGACGCAGAAAGGTTAGGGGGCATAATCGAACTTTCAAAAAAAGTTGGGACAAATTTTACAATCGAAAATTTACGTCCAAAAAAATCATACCTAGTGTAATTTTGCATCCAAAAATTTAAATGGGATATAACTTTTTCGGATGTAAAATTTCGAATTTTTTTGATATTATATTCCATATAAAATTTCCTAATAAAAGGATTTGAGAAATTCTGTATCGCAAAAATAATATATGTTAATGAAATAATTGAATTTTTTTTTAAAATGCGAGTTAGACGTCTTTTTTTAAGACTCACGTTTAACATATTTTTAATTATTTTCGATATATGTTTGGACTATTCGATATGCCTATAATGTAGTTCTCGAAATAAGTTTTGAGATGACATAAACAATTTGTAAATTCAATTAGTGTACGATCGTCAGAGAATTTTTAAAATTAGCATGTTATCAAAATTCAGATTTATTGTGATTTTGCCCCTGTTTGGTGGAGATTGAAATCAATTTTTTAGTAAATTTTGATAAAAGTTAAAACAATTATGGATTTCATGAAATATGTTATTAAAATTAATTGGTAACTTTGATTTAGATTAAAATTTAGATTTCAATCGATATCAAACATGATTTAAAAAACAAAAAAAAAATTCTCAAAAGTTGGGGGGCACGTGCCCCCTCCGAGGACCCCCCTGGGTCCGCCAGCGTGTATCATCTTCTATGTGCAAAACGTTTCCTCCATTTTTGAGAGACCTCGACGACAATGCACCCATTTATAGTATAGTGTACATTCTTATAATTTATGGGTCGTGATTTTTACTGTATTACCAAACCTTCTTCTCCTTGTTCTTATGTTCATAGTCTGTAGTAAAGAGAGTTGAAGGTAAAGAATTGTGGGATTTCTGCTAATATTTCAATTTATCTGAAGAATTTCACAAGTGCTTGGTATATTTGCTTAAGTTAATTTTTATGACCTT